AGGTTTGCGTGTCGGCAAGACGAATCACATAGCGAAAGACACAAGCCAAGTTAACATGTATATGGTAAACAAGCCTAAAAAATCCCAATGACTAGGAAAATACTGTGTGGTTGTTAGCTTATGTGACACCCCGATTTAGCATTCGGTCTTACCAGTTTGTTCTTAGAAGAAAGGCCATATGGCCGCTGACCACGATATGATAAAAATAACGTTTTGATGTTTTAGGTGAACAGTTAGTTTCTATAAGAATAAACGTCTAGGATCACGGACTAGCAATCATACTTCTGAGAAATAGACCTTTCCCCTTTATTAGAAAAAGAAAATAAACTCTAACTTGAGTACAAACACTTATGTACAATAGTGATCAGTGGGAAGGACCCGAGTAATTGTTTTTAGCTTGTAATCTTTCGTTTCGATTACTTGGCTTATAGATCCTTTCGAAGAGGATCTAGAACGGGAAATACCCATTTCTTCGCAGAAGTCCCAGATGACGCGGGCGTGGCGCCGGGCGGGCCTGGTGCGAGCGCGGGGGTACTATAGACCCAAAGAATTATAAATTTATCAAGCATTTAAAGAAGCTGTATCTATCTTTCATACATAGCATATATCCTGACCACACCGTCTGAGTTACAATACGACTTAATTATATCACATATGCAAACAAACTTGGATTACAGTGCATCATTTAATTGCAATAGAAGACACACTATGTTAGGCTCACAAATATGTAGAGAGCAAAAGCAAAGAGACTTAGACCCAGAAAGAGCTAAATGTAAGAGCATTGTACCGAGGAGAGATGCGACAGAGAAGCCAGAGAGTTGTGTTAGGCCTGAGCATACGCCTCCACAGCATATGCGACTTACAGTCCGCTTTACGGAAAGAACGCAGATTGGATTGCGTCGACGGGATATAAAAGATTATAATTAGATAGTAGAGCCGAGGTAAGTTCTAATTTCAAGGCAAGTCCTTATTTTCATAGCCATATGATTTCTGGTATAAGTATCCTTCCTCTCATGAGCGAAATGGAAAAACACTCTAAAGGTTAACAACCATTTGACATGATGACACCTCAGAAATAAAAGCAACTTGGGTACCACAATTTGTTACGTTATACTGTGTCAATACTTTTGTTGCTACTGTCTATATTATTAAAAGCCTAAAGATCCATATTCTATATTTCTCTGGGTGAGCCAAGGGCACTATGGACCAACACCCTGAGTTACAAATAAGTAATGATTATGCAAACCAAGGCTGACTAACCAGTGCACAAATAAATACGAAACTGGACAAGTTACTTGGAGGTATAAGAGTCTATCGTATTCAATAAAGAAAATTTACCCAAAACAAAACAATATGTATTATCCTATAATAGGCTTTTTTTTTTGAGACGGAGTCTCCCTCTTCGCCCCAGGCTGGACTTGCAGTGGCCAGATCTTTTCAGCTCACTGCAAGCTCCGCGCACCCCCGGGTTTACGCCATTCTCCTGCCTCAGCCTCCGGGTAGCTGGAACTAAGACCAGCGCCGCCACCTCACCCAGCTAGTTTCTTTAGTATGGTTTTAGGGATCATAGGGAGTAATCGCATGGGCGTTGCCAATACAAGCGCCAGCGATAGTCCTCGATCTCCTGACCTCGTGATCTTGCCGTGCCGAATCGCCGGCCAAATTGGCGGGATTAGCAGGCTTGAGTCACCACACTCCGGGCTATTATCATATGGGGGCAGAGTCTACTTTTCTTCATATCTTATCTTCTGTTGGCCAACACCTCCTCCTGGGTATAAGTATGATGATGAGAGAGGATATAAAAATGTCCACTGGATCATAGTCAGCCGGAAGGGTGGAGTACACAGCTGAATTCCCAGCCACATTTCTGAGACACGCGCCGATTCGTGCAGATCCACGAGGACGGTCAGGAGATCGAGACTATTCCTGGGCTAACACAGCGGAAACCCCATCCCCGTACTAAAACATACAAAAAACCTAGCTTGGGTTGAGGTGGCGGTGGCATGTTGGTAGGGTCCAAGCTGCTCGGGAGGGGGCGAGGCAGAGAAATGGCGTAAACCGCCGGGAAACCCGGGAGGCGGAGCTTGCAGTGAGCTGAGATCTGGCCACTGCACTCCAGCCTGGGCGACAGAGGGAGACTCCGTCTCAAAAAAAAAAAAAAGCCTATATAACACATATTTTGTTTGGAGTACAATTTTCTTTTATTATCTAACCTACCTATACATTGTTTCTATTTATTTGTGCACTGGTTATCAGCTTGTTTGCATAATATCACTTATTTGTAACTCAGGTGTTGTCATATGTGCAGAAGAAATAATAAGTTTCTTAAATGCTTTTTAATATATAACAAGTAAGAACAAAAGTATTACAAGTAAGAACAAAATGTACAATCTTCCTGATCATTATTTATAAGTTTGTACTTTTTAGAGTTTTTTTTTCCCAATGAAGAGGAAGGATATTTCAGAAATATGCATCCTGATAAGACTTTAATTAGAAACTACTGGCTCTACCATTAAATTTAATTTTTATATTGCATCAGCAATAATGTTTTTCTAAAGAACAAACTGTAAGACCAATGCTGTGAGTATTACATAAACAATTTTCTGCATTGAATTTTTGGTTGTTTACCATTACTTGGGTTTCTTGCTTTGTCTAACATGCCTACATACTGTTTCTATTTATTTGTGCACTGGTAATCAGTTTGTTTGCATAATGTGATATAATGTCACTTATTTGTAACTCAGGTGTGGTCAGATTTGCAGAATAAATAATAAGCTTCTTAAATGCTTTTAAATATATAACAAGTAAGAACAAAAGTATTACAAGTAAAAACAAAATGTACGGTCTTCCTGATCACTATTTATAAGTTTGTACTTTTTAGAGTTTATTTTTTTCTAATAAAGGGGAAGGCATTTCAGAAATATGCATCCTGATAAGACTTTACTTAGAAACTACTGACTATACCATCAAATTTAATTTTTATATTGTGTCAGCAATAATGGTTTTCTAAAGAACAAACTGTAAGACCAATGCTATGGGTGTCACATAAATAAACAATTTTCTGCATTGGATTTTTGGTTGTTTACCATTACTTTGGTTTCTTGCTATGTGAGACATGCAAACTGAGTTTCAAGTATCTGCTGAATGTGTAATGTGGCTTTTATAATAAAATATGTGTCCCAATTTGGATTTGAGAATGAATTTTGAGGACTCTACTATGTTCTTCTTTCTCTTCTTTTTGTCCATTTGGTATTTGTTTTTGCAGCAAAGTCAATTAGAGTTACATTTCTGAGTAAGAATTGGCTATTTTGCCCTCTCCACTACAATTCATGCACATCCTCTGACCTACCAGAATCAAAGGCATTTGTACTGACATGCCATGTCCAGTTACTAGAGTCCCATATTAGTATCCTGGCCAATGGTAGTACCCTCCTAGGCAGCTGGATTTGCTCTGTTCTTACTGTGCTCCCCTCCATCTTGTCCACACTGGTACTGTCTAATTATTTTCCTACATGATCTTTCTGGTGACTATCTGGGTCATTCCAAGTAATCTAATGTATGCTAAGATTTAAGAATTTAATGTATTATAATTTTAATATGGTAATATTTTAATAATTTTTTTCAAAATGCTGAAATTTGAATGGTATTTGCCTCTATAGGTTAAGAAGAAATCTTAACAATGCTATATTGTATACTTGAAATTCACTAAACAAAAAAAAAGTTGATCTTAAGTGCTCTCACAACACATTCACAAAAGTCATAAGTATGGTATGTGAGGTCATGGATATGTTAATTAACTTAATTGTGGTAATCATTTAATGGTGTATACATATGTATACCAAAACATAACATTGTGTATGTTAAATACATGCAACTTTTGTTTGTCAAGCATACCTCAATAAAAGTGGAAAAAAAACATTTTTAGGAGGGAAAGCACTCGTTATTACCATCATAGGATCTCATCTCAAAAAAAAATACAAACTTTTTTCTGTGTGTATACGATTACCAAAGATATTTTAGTAAAGCCTAAAATGCTCTTTCTCTAATTTGATTTAACTTTAGAAAAGTTATGTAAGCACATATGTATATATATTTTCATTATTAGAGCATATGTGCTTTATATGCCTTTCAACAGTATCACTGACTTTGTTGAATGACTTTTTACTTTATTGAACTGACTTTAGTGATTAGTTCAGGAATACGTATTATTTCAGTGCATTAATTTCACCATCACTTCTGAGGGTGAGATCTTATGTGAAGAACATTGTTAAATAAAATAGAAAACATTCGTGTTCTGATGCTCCTTTGTAAATGTAATATTTTCTGAGCAAAAAGTGGGCAAAGGATATGAACAGACACTTCTCAAAAGAAGACATTTATGAAGCCAATAGACAAATGAAAAAACGCTCATCATCACTCGCCATCAGAGAAATGCAAAATCAAAACCACAATGAGATACCATCTCACACCAGTTAGAATGGTGATCATTTAAAAGTCAGGAAACAACAGGTGCTGGAGAGGATGTGGAGAAATAGGAAAACGTTTACACTCTTCATGGGAGTGTAAACTAGTTCAACCATTGTGGAAGACAGTGTGGCGATTCCTCAAGGATCTAAAACTAGAAATACCATTTGACCCAGCCATCCCATTACTGGGTATATACCCAAAGGATTATAAATCATGCTGCTATAAAAACATATGCACACGTATGTTTATTGCAGCACTATTCACAATAGCAAAGACTTGGAACCAAATTCTTTCAACTCTTTTAAGGTCCTAACTGAACATTATGTGTGTTTCTTAACATTTACTAGATCATAAATATCTCAAGATAGGGAAATTCGTCTTATTTATTGCTGTGTCCTTAGCATATAACATACTGCCTACCCTATAGTGGATACTCAATGCAAGAATGAGGGTGCAGTGGGCACCAGTCACTTTTTCTTCCTAAAATTAAACATTTCTCACCTGTGTACCCCCTCAGAATTGCTTTTCTGAATGTACTTCAAACAGAACCCGCCATTTTCTTAAAGCCCATGCCTCCCTGACCATAGCAATTAATCTAGGGGTGAGCAGTTGACACTGGTATCCCACCTCCTTGGCCACAGTTGATTGGTCCAGAGATGGGCACCTTACCCAAACTAGGCCAATGAGAGTACTTCCGCCAGCATTTTGAAATTTGTGAGAAAAAGGACCTACTATTACCAGGTAATCCTATACTTAGTGGATGGAGCCCAAATATATAATAAAATCAAGATTCTACTACTTCATATCTTGTGGGCCATGGATCTTATAGGAGTCTTAAGGGGGTGTTGGTCTTGTCCTTTTCATAGTTGCAGGCATGGTGCAAAGGCAGGACAACCTACCTTTATCTGCTCCTTCTATACTACTGATCCTACCCTAAACATGTAGGTGTATAATCAGAGACAGGAAGCCATGGCAAATCTGGAGGGTCTGGACTTGGCTATATCTTAAAGAGTTACATATAATCGTGGTTCAACATTGGTGAAATTTTCCAAAAATTGGTGGAGGAAAGAGTGGCCAATGCAATTTTATCTTTCTCTTTTCTGCTGACATCAGGGAGAGAGATAAGAGCTTTTAAAATCATAATTATGGGGAAATAATATTTTAAAATCTAGCTCAAGTTAAACCCATTAGAAAAGGTAACACCTTTCAGGACCCCCAAATGGCCACATCTTATCCAATGAGGGGACACCAGCCATAGAGTCTATACTGCACACTTCAAATGGTAGCCACGAGCTATCAGGCACTTAAAATGTGGTGAGTCCTACTTGAGACATACTGTAAAATACACACCAGATTTCAAAGGCTAAGTACAAAAAAGATGAAAAATATCTCATTCACTGTTTATAAATACGAGTTGAAATGCTTATATTTGGATATACTAGGTTAAATGAAATACATTATTAAAATAATTTCACCTATTTCTTTTTACTTTTCTTGATGTGACTACCAGAAAATTTAAAATTACATATGTGGTTTGCATTATATTTCTATTGAACAGCACTCATCTGTACATTTCCAGTGAAATGTTTAGCATATGTTGAAGTTACTGCTCCTGATGCAGTGGCTTATCTCAGATATGGCCAAGTTCTTCTGTCCAAGGAAAACTAGGTTCAACCCATTCCTGGAGAGGAAGAGACTCAAATCTTTCTGAGCTGGGTCACTTACCTTGGTTACATCTGTTCTCCACCTATTCTACCAACAACCAAACGGATGGACATAGCTGAAATAAAATCATGCAATCACACTGAATGATGTCTCACCTCAGGTGGGCCTTCAGCATTGAAGCATTCTACTGCTACATTTCATTCTACTGCTACATTTCCCCTAATCCACACATTCTTAGCTTCTTAGCTTTCACACATTCTTAGCTTCTCATCGAACCTCCAGCATGCGCTCCCGCCCCTGCCCCCACCACAATCTGAGCCTTAGGACAAAGAGTATTTTTTTCCTAATGAAATATTTCAAACAAAGATAGATACAGAAAATAATATAACAAACAAACATGTGCCCATCACCTCACTTTGCCAGATGTTAACATTTTGTCATCTTTGCTTAATGTATTTTACAAAATTAAACATTTTACATACAGTCTGTAACCCTCCATGGGGCTGGCAGGAAAGGGTTCTCATTGTCAAAGTTCAAAGTAATTGATCATTGAAAAAATAATGATCGCATTAAAAGGAGCCCTTATATAATAGAGATATATATTGAAATACTCATAAATGAAATGATATCCTGTCTAGGATTGACTTCAAACACATCCAGCTGATGTTACAATCATTGGGTGAATTGCTGATGTGGAATTTGACATTTGTATGGTGCCAAAATAGTATCTCAGAGATTTCTTTTTGATTGCTACTGGAAATGTTAACTTTAGAATGGAGGTATCAGGCTAATCCACGGGTCAAATTTAGTGTCACTAAGGATGGGATGGCCAGATATTATCTGCCCCTGATATGGCACAATATGAAGGACTCAGCATCATCTTTGATATATTTTAGCCAAAAAACTTACTTAACTTGAATCTAATCGGAACTTAGGTATATTCAATAGCATGAGATATTCTACAGGACTGCAAGCCAACTTTCTTTCACTAAATGAGTGTCAGGAAAAAAGGGACTACTCCGTACTAAAAGAGAGTGTGGGCCTAAACAACCAGATGCAATGTGCAGTCTTAGGTTGAATTCTGATTTGGACCAACTAGCTACAAAGGATGCCTTTGAAGCAATTAAGAAAATTTGAGGCGCGCCCAGCCGGCGGGAGCGCGGCGGCCCGGCTCCGGCAGGGCCGCGCCAAGCCAGGCGAGCCCCTGCGGCGCTCAGGCGCGGGCCTGCGCCGCGCCGCGGGGCGCGGCATTTTTATTCCGGCGACGCTTAAGGGAGCCCGGCCGCGCCCGGTGCATTGTGGGAGCGGTCCACGGCCCGTTTTCGGGAGGCGGCGGAGGGCGCAAAGCGAGCCGGTGGATCCATAAAGAACCCAGCCAACCCGCAGAGGTAGGGGAGGGGCTGAGCTGTGAGGAGAGCGGGGCCCAAGAACCATGTCTATGCGGGAGTCGTTTAACCCGAAAAGTTACGAATTGGACAAAAGCTTCCGGCTAACCAGATTCACTGAACTGAAGGGCACAGGCTGCAAAGTGCCCCAAGATGTCCTGCAAAAATTGCTGGAATCTTTACAAGAGAACCACTTCCAAGAAGATGAGCAGTTTCTGGGAGCCGTTATGCCAAGGCTTGGTATTGGAATGGATACTTGTGTCATTCCTTTGAGGCACGGTGGGCTTTCCTTGGTTCAAACCACAGATTACATTTACCCGATCGCAGACGACCCTTACATGATGGGCAGGATAGCATGTGCCAATGTCCTCAGTGACCTTTACACAACGGGGTCACGGAATGTGACAATATGCTGATGCTCCTTGGAGTCGATAATAAAATGACCGACAGGGAAAGGGATAAAGTGATGCCTCTGATTATCGAAGGTTTTAAAGACGCAGCTGAGGAAGCAGAAACGTCTGTAACAGGTGGCCAAACAGTACTAAACCCCTGGATTGTCCTGGGAGGAGTTGCTACCACTGTCTGTCAGCCCAGTGAATTTATCATGCCAGACAATGCAGTGCCAGGGGACGTGTTGGTGTTGACAAAACCCCTGGGGACACAGGTGGCAGTGGCTGTGCACCAGTGGCTGGATATTCCTGAGAAATGGAATGAGATTAAACTAGTGATCACCCAAGAAGATGTAGAGCCGGCCTACCAGGAGGCAATGATGAACATGACGAGGCTCAACAAGACAGCTGCAGGACTTATGCACACGTTCAGTGCCCACCCGGCCACTGACATCACGGGCTTCGGGATTTGGGGCCATGTGCAGAACCTGGTCAAGCAGCAGAGGAACGAGGTGTCGTTTGTAATTCACAGCCTCCCGGTGCTGGCCAAGATGGCTGCGGTGAGCAAAGCCTGTGGAAACATGTTCGGCCTCATGCACGGGACCTGCCCAGAGACCTCAGGCGGCCTTCTGATCTGTTTACCACGTGAGCAAGCAGCTCGGTTCTATGCAGAGATAAAGTCTCCCAAATATGGTGAAGGCCACCAAGCATGGATTATTGGGATTGTAGACAAGGACAACCGCACAACAAGAATGATAGACAAACCCCGGATCATCGAGGTTGCACCACAAGTGGCCACTCAAAAGGTGAATCCCACACCTGGGGCCACCTCTTAATCTAGACAGAAATAGTTGTTTGGTTTTGATTTTAAATACATCTGTTTCCCTTACCACTTCAATTAAAGACTATAAACAACAAAAATCTCATTGTGTCTACACATCGGGGTGACCTTAGGTCTGTTTGTAAGTGGATACAATTAATAAAATAAAATCCATTGCCTTTTTTCCTGTTACATTAACTGAAGATGCACCTAATCTTGAGGCAGCCTCTGAGTTGAGAATTATATTGTTATCCAATACTGTTGATTCATTTTGAATCTTTAGACACTTATCTCTTGCCGCATAGGCTCTTTTTAAAGGTGCTTTCACATAGCACAGACATTACCAGTAGTCATGTCAAATAGCAGTTGGTGTCTTCATTTTATGTATATTTATCATATAAGTCTGATTTTTTTTTTTAAGCGTCTTGAATGGTTTTCTGGAGAGCCAGCACTGGTAAGTGGCACATGATGGTATCCCAGTCATGTCCCAGTCATAGGAGGGTTGCATGATTCCTTTGAGTGTTTGATTTGAAAAGCCTAGTCTTGTCTCTCAAGAGCATCTTGAACCTAGAACATTCTCCAGTAGTGCATTCAGTTCAACATGGCAAGTGCTTCACTGCATGGAAAACCCTTTGAAGACAAAAAAGAAATCTTATTTCTTTTTTTGTAGCCTTCCTGATATTTACAGTAATATTAACTGTTTTATCAATAGCAAAAAAGGATACTTTTTGCAATGTAATTAGATGTTCTATAGTGCTACAAGGAATTGCCTTCCGAATGGAGGTTGATGTATAATACTCATTTATAATTCAATATATAATTACGCAAATAATTTTTAAATATAATCAATAATAAAGACTGTTCTGTGGATGGTAGTGTTTAATACATTTTATATTTTGTATAGTGATTTCAGGCCTTTTGTTTTCTTAAAATCAGCAGCTGTTTAGCCTAATTCTTAGCATTATTTTGTCCTTTGCGCCAGTACTTTTTTGTGCACCCTTTTCGTGATCTGTGTTAAAAACCTGCACTGCCAACGTTGCAGCTCAAACTTAAAACTTGTTATTCAAATAAATATTTAACTTTTTAAATTGCTCTTGTATAATCAGATGCCCCTTTTAGTATTATTTTAGAAGCATTGGGAGGGTTTTGCCTAAAGTACAATTTATCGGGAAAAACTAGATTTTAGTTTTATAAAACTTTTAAGTCTTTCATGGGACCTATATTTTCTTGAATTAAATTTTGTAGTTCTAGAATAAATAGGCAACCTAAAAAGGTGTTATCTGTGTTTCGTAAAGTGGAGGCTTCCTTATATTTTAACCTACTGAGCAAAGAGGAGGGATTCCTGTCACTAAGCACGAGGGCACTGGATCCTCGAGTGCCCACCTTCATGAGAGAAAAAGCAGCACATCCTGCATGTTTCCGGTGCTTCCAGCTCACAGGCATCAAAGCCGCACGTGTAAACTGACTTCTTGCCAAAGGAAATGACCCCTGGGAAGATCAAGCTCCTGGAAGAGGCTTTAACTCCGACGCGACCTCCTCTGGGAACCAGCGGGCAGGGCAGCCTTTATGCATGTGTAACTGGACCTCCACCCGTAAGCATAGTGTGCAGTTTGGAAGAGCCTGCTATGGAACTGAAATTGGTTGGACATTTTATAGGAATTGATATACAGATGTTGGTCCTCAAAAGCTACAAACCAGTGGTCTGCAAAATAAAATGTGTTGGAAACCTCTGAGTAAAAAAAAAAAAAAAAATTTGAATATTGCATTGATATTAGGTGATATTAACTGGATCGGGTGTGCTAGTGTCATTTTGTGTATGTGGGAAAATTTTTTTTAAAGATGACTTCTAAAGTATATAGGAGTGGACTGTCATGAAATTTGTAATGTACATTAAAATGCATCATCATAAAAAGTGTGTTGAAAGAAAAAAGTGAAAGTAGCAATGCAATTCCAAGAATAATTTTCTAATATCCACTCACAAAAACATTAAATTCTTTATATTAAACACATGAAAAATAACGCAAATATATCTATCTTTTAAGATTCATCTCAAATTCCGCCTCCATCAAGCATTACTGAAGAGTAGGAAGCTTGTTTACTACTTTTTTTATCCACTGGGTTGCTCGCTCCATAAGCAGAGACTTCTATCTCGATCTTTATATTTTCAGCTTGTAACTGAGTCTGGTAAAGAATAAGAACTCAATAAATATTTGTGAATAAATAGGTGAATATTTCCACATGGTATTATAATTATATCTTTATATGTCTATGTCCCCCACCAAACATAGTGTTGTACCACTAGGAAAGAACAAAGTTTAAGAAATTTTCTTAAATCTCTCTTTCTTACCCTTTCCTGACCCTCACTAGTGCCCACCAAAGAGTCTGTGACAAAGTGTATTTGTTGTTGAATTGAATTAGGCAAAAAGATGCGATAATGGAAGCAATTTTATTATTTAACAGAATGTGGAGATCTCAACCAGAACCTAGTTTTTACTACTCATACTACGGTTAGTGATCTCAAGATCCTCTGGAATATATGAGGCTTCTCCCCATTTGTGGCTGCTACTTGTTAGTTTTTCAAATTAAGATGCAGAAAGTAGGCCAGAGGTGGCGGCTCACACCTGTAATCCCAGCACTTTGGGAGGCTGAAGTGGGTGGATCACAAGGTCAGGAGTTCAAGACCAGCCTGACCAATATGATGAAATTCTGTCTTTACTAAAAATACAAAATTAACCAGGCATGGTAGTGTGTGCCTGTAATCCCAGCTACTCGGGAGTCTGAGGCAGGAGAATCACTTGAATCTGGGAGGCGGAGGTTGCTGTGAGCTGAGATCGTGCCACAGCACTCCAGCCTGGGCAACAGAGTGAGACTCCATCTCAAAACAACAACAACAACAAAGATGCAAAAAGTCTGTTTCTTATGTAGAACCTATTGGTGACAGTAAACTTGATATGTTTCTTTAAGTGGACAATGGGTATAGAAAGGACAATTTTATTTCTTCCTGCTATAGGAGCTGAATATGATGATCAGACCAGTCAAAGGGAGAAAGAAGATGATAAAGTCTTTCCTGGTGGAAGCCATACATATGTCTGGCAGGTCCTGAAAGAGAATGGTCCAATGGCCTCTGACCCGCTGTGCCTTACCTACTCATATCTTTCTCATGTGGACCTGGTAAAAGACTTGAATTCGGGCCTCATTGGAGCCCTACTAGTATGTAGAGAAGGTAAGTGTATGAAAGTGTATGATTGAGATGAAATAAGCAGAGAAGTACAAACAACTGAATCTATCTATAACAGTTAGCATTTGTGTTCCTTAACCTGAAAGAGGCTTCTTTACTCTAGCATCATGCTCATAGAAAGGAGAATAATCCAGTTTCTGAGAGAAGCAGATATGCATTCTGTATAACCACAATAAATTCTAAGCTGGGATCAGGAGCAGCTGAGTTCCAGACTTAAATCTCTCTCCTCAAAGCATTACTGTTTCCCTCTTCAAATCTGTGGGCTTTATCAGTAGTGATTTCTACCATCCTCTGCCTTTTGCAGACATTGAGCTATGTTCCTTGAAAGCTTCATGAAGGTGAACACATATAGACTGGTTCAGGTGGTTAGTTTGTCATTTGCAGACCAAAAGTATATAAAAATCTAAGAAAAGTCAGCATTTATTTATATATGTTATTGAAAATTAATTAATTTGGATTGAATTAATATATTCTAAAATAATTCTAATCAAACCTGTTTTTAATTTATACCTTAGCATAAATTAAATTAGGGAAGTAAATTTTGCATAATTTGTTTTTCACCCTATTTTTTTATGGTGAAATCAGCTTCACTGTACCTTTTTCTTATTCCAGTTATCTTTTACTGCATAACTCCACAATTTAGTGACTTAAAACAACAACAATCACTTATTATCGCTCATGGTTTCTGTGGGTCTCATGGAATTTGGGAGTGTTTTGACTTGGTGGTCTATCTAAGTGTGTCTCATGAGGCTATAGTCAAACAGTGGCCAGAGCTGAAATCATCCCAGAGTTGACTTTATTCACATGTCTTTAACCTTGGCTTGATGGTACTGTCCACATGGTCTCTCTCACATGGGTCTTACAGGGTAGCCAGACTTCTTATATGGTCCTGAGAGAGCCCATTAGAAACTGTTTCATGTTTTCTAATGTAACCTTGGAAATCACTCACATAACATACATTCTATTAGTTAGAATGCATCACTAAGACCAGTCTATAGAGGGGGACTCCACCTTTTGATGGGGAATAGGCAAAGAATTTATTAACAGGAATCACCATAGTCTTTCTGAATGGTGATGAATGTGATTCAAAAAAAAGATGAGAGTGGGGAGTGGAGAACATGAGAAAGGTTTGTAGTTTATAATAGTTTCAGATGAAAGTATGATTTTTCATATACTAAGTTCAGTTTCATAGTCATAATTAATGAGAAAGTGCCAAAACCACAGTGTGTTATTTATGAGATGTAAAGGCTAATTGAACAAGAACATAATCAAAACATTAGTGTTTACATATGACATATAAAGAAATAAGTTAAAAACCCAAATAATTCTTTGACACAGAGTTGAATTAAAGAGTCAACAGAGGTTCTAGCTCCGGGTAAAATGGATAAACACACTCCACCCTTTATTTCCCATTGAACTTATCTATAAAACCTTGACAAAATGCAAAGCCCAGATATTTAAAAATTTCTAAAAGGCAAATAGAACAAGTAAATAGAGAAAAGGCACTAAAATTCAAAGTGTTACCAAACTTGTGGGGGAGTATACGTTTTTCCCCCCTCTAGTATTCCTTAACCTGAATTAAAACATAACTGGAGACTTGGAAGTGAGTACTATGTTGCAAAGAGAGCTCCAGGAGAAACCCTCTAGCGTTTCAAGGAGTGGGAAAGGTAACTAAATGCACAAAGAGCATGGAAGGGGAAATCCCCTAGGGTTTTTGTCCTCTTTTCCACCATTCTCTCAAGCTTCAGTCCAAGGTTGCCTGTGCCAGTGACAGTGGCTGGCAACAGAAGCCTGCACGAGTAAAAACTTAGGGAGGGGAACATTATCCTTCATTCAGTACAGCTACAGATCTAAGACCCTGGGGCAAAAGCACATTACTTTTCTCTCTGTCTTTCCCCTTCCGTTGCTTGACCTTAGCTATGATGTAGTTGTGGAAGTTGGAAGCTTCTGGTTAGAAAACCAAAAAAAGGAGCTCACAGAACTGGAAAGTTTATAGATGACAGAGGGAAAAGATCCCAGGAAAGTAAACCCATAAAGTTGTGCATTAACTCCTGGATTTACCCCCAACCTACACATATCTGGATGGAATCCTAATTAGCATGCTGAAGACTGTGAAACTGAGATTTCCCCTCACGTACCAGACTGGCCACTGTGTTGGAGTCAATGGCACAGCAAAGGGTTTAAAACTGATCTGACACTGAAACCACAGACCACATAATAATAATAAATGTTTGGTTTATATCTGAAGCAGGGCTTAGAGGGAATTTTATAGAATTAAACATTTGTATTAGAAAAATATCAACTCGATAATCTAAATTTCCACCCCAGGACACTAGAAAAAGAAGAGCAAAGCAAACCCAAATCAAGCAGAAGAAAGGAAACAACAAACTATAGAGTGGGAGAAAATATTTGCCAATCACATAACTGGCAAACCCAGTCCTAGAATAGGAACTAAGTTTTCTCAGTTCAGTGGGGGAATCTGAAATATCCCCAAGATTTCCATTAGCCAGTATCTCCAAAATTCCATTCTAGGGTGTGATTTGCTAGATAGAGAATAGTGAACACATCCTTTGTTTAATCAACCAATGATCACAAGGGACAGCAAAGATCACTATAGTTCAACAAAGTCAGATTTATTGCCTCATGGCAACAAGAAACTGTGGACACCTCCCTAAACAAAGGAAAATACTATATAGAGTTAGTAAAGAGTTTGGGGGAAGGGTGGAGGTTAGGTAATATTTAGATGAAGCACAGTAGAGTTGTGTGTAAAGAAATAACCATGAGGTCTAGACTGTGAAGTGTCCTGGTTAACTAAAAAGTTAACATAGACATGAAATGTTAAGTCAAGGCATCCCTTACCTGAAGCTTGAGCTTTAAATTGAGCTGCTTCTTCATGTCAAAGTAATTTAGATGACCTAGGAAAGAATGAGATGTTTCATTCTTATTGCTATTAGTTCAGACATTTCTGGTAGGCTGTGAATTCCAAGAACAAGCAATTCAATTGAGTAAGAAATCAAGAGATAATCAAAGCAAATGGTATTCAGTGAGTTTGTACAGTGGCAATGTGTCCTTGGGAGAAATGGTGTTGTTAACTCTGTAGTTAGCTTTACCTATGTCTTTTACCCAGCCTGATGAGTAGCAGCACACATACTGTTACCTTCTTAGTTCAAGCTAATTTTTATTTCTAAGCATTAAGGGTGCAAGAGAGAGAAAGAAAGACAAAATGTCATAAACAAAAATCTTTCTACTCAAAATAAGCCTGCAAACAAAAGTTCCCAAATTTAAAAAATATATAAGGCTAAGAAAGATAGCCAACAAGCTCAACAGTTAAAGCATGAAACAAGCTAGTTTGTTCCATTAAAAACTTTAGCTATTGATATACACGGTATTCATTTAAAATGTGAGTATAATTAAAAGCACTGTGGGCTATTGAAAAAAATATGAGTATAGATGTTTAATATGGACAATTATTATTTTACTCAAAACTTTTAAT